ACATAATAGGTTTGCATGCATTTGTTGGACTAAGTTGGCTAGTTAAAACAGGTTTTTTATATTGCATGCAGTATTTCTCCTCACATTAAACTGCCTGCTTAGCAGATTTGTCTTCAATTCTGGACCTACTTGTAGTATTGCAATTTTCTGAGACCACTGCAAGTTCCATCATTGTTGTGAAAATTTCTAGTTGAGTGAATGCTTTCCCTAATTCTCAATTTAATGGATTTAAAAACAATGGATTTAAAAAAACTCTTATCCATTTCCCTAATTCTCAGTTCATTGGATGGCATTGGGATGATGACAACAAGCATACAACCAGGTATTTTTTAGCATTATATTTCCGAACGTGAAAGTGCATATTGCAGTGCTCATGAACAGAGTACATTATCACTGTGTATTATTGTATTGTTGTAATCCAGTAGCTTTAAAAATACATCTTTTTATACAAGGTTGATTTATTTGCATAACAGACACATCGATCATCAGTTGCTTATTATGCAGATTTTTCCCCATTCAGAAGCTTTATGATGAAAAAAATTTGAATTTTTTTTATTCTAATACCTTGTGCACTTTTAAGTTGCCAATAAAACATATTTTTTGTATGCTGGATGTCATGTCATATTTTTCTTTTGTATTTTTTTTTAAAACTATATGTCTTAGAGTATTCTTTTTCTTTCTTGAAAACTATGAGTCTTACGGGTAATTTTGTGGGTAAATTTTTTATGTACTGTGATGAAGAATCTCATATTATGAAGTTTATGCCATCTTTATTAAACACCCTGTACATTTATTTTTTCAACTAATGAAAGATAAAAATATATGAGAGGATAAATTGCTGTTGAACTTCAATAAGCTAGAAATGAAAGGTCTGAAAATAAAATTTGATAAATCAAAAATTCATAAAAATTCAAAATTAATTTTGAATTTTGCATTTTAACATTCAGACTTATCAATGGTCAAGTAATTGAAATTCATATGTACTCCTGTATTATTATTCATATTTCATATTCAGCTGCATTTATTTGTCATATTTCTATGCATTCCTTTATAAAATACTTTTTATTCATTATAGATCTCCTTACAAGTTGAAATTATTCCGGTTTACAAATAAATTTCTTATTAATTAGTAAAAAGTAATTCTAATATTTTTTCCTCTTGCCAAAATTTCAAGCTTTAATATTTCTCTTCTGTTTTGGACTTGATTATATAATTTAGTTTAGACAAAACATACAAGGGTTATCTGCTGAAGCGCCATTCCAGTTTTATTTCTGCCCCTAAAATTGAAAATCAGTAAAATCAAATTTTAGAATTGTTTTGAATAACATTTGTATTCTTGAAAGGGCTCACCTTCTTTAATTAGTAAGCAGAAGTACATTGCTGTAAATGCTTCCAGATAATAAATAAAATTTGCTGTATGGTAATACCATTAAGGGAAATCTGTATATAAATAAATGTCCTTGTAAGGAAGGAAATTATGATAAATTTTACATTTTATTCAATAAACATGGCATTTCATGTTTTGCTATAGTAATAGTAGCCAGATAGCCATTAAAGTGCTTTGCCATATTTAAAGCCAAACTTAGCAAAAGCCAAACCAAATTATAGTAATACGGTACAAAGTCTGAGATTCGGACGTCCAATATCTGGAATGATCTAAAATCTGGACCTCAAAGCCACCAATAACCTTTTTTTTTAAGGAATTTTTTTAATATATGCTTTATGCATGCGTGTTTGATTTTTTTTTCCTCGTAATAAAATGTGGAGAGTCTCAATTCTTCACTTTGGCACTAAATAAAATACCTCATTATTGAAGAAACAATCATTTCAGCAAACATTTCTGTGATCAATAATTTGATCGTCTAGCAGCATATTTTCTTGGCATACGTCTCAAACTGAAACTTTTTACAATGAAATATCGTTGATTTTACACATTCTAATATTTTATATCCCTCATGCCAACCTGGCGAATCATTATTTATTATATTTGGCTTTCATCACCGCTTGTTAATCCAAGACATGACAGCTTGAGTAACGACTCACTTGAGTAATGACTCATGCAGGAATGCCTAAACAATTTTTTTATATTAGAAATTGAATAATAAAGAGTATGGGAACCTTTTCTGTTGAAATTATGCTTCATGATGATTACAAATTTAAATTAAATGCACTAAGATGTGTTGATGAGAAAAAATTTAACAAAAATTTCTTTCCATGTGCTAAAAATGGATTTTGTTAATGATACTCATAGGCCAAAAGATTACATTTAATGGCATTTGAATTAAGAATAACTGATTTGTTATTCACATAAACACAGAACCGTCACCAGAATTCGTATAGCCGCACTGGGCAGCAGAAATTGGGGAAGACAAAATTTTTGGAATTTAGAGAAGCATCGAGCAACAAAATTAAAGGATGAAAACATTTTTAGAATTTAGGGAAAGCACTGGGACACAAAATTTAGCGACATCGCTAATTTTTAGCAGAATTTAGCTTTTGTAGCTTTTTGTAGCAGAATTTAGGACCTACAGAGACTGCATCAGGCAGTATGATATGTAGCCTTGGCCTTCAAAAAGCCTTAAGTATATATGGGAATTTATTTATTCAGTACTCAATTAAGCCTTAAGCATGTGCAAGAAATAGACATAAGTATAATAAATAACTAAACTTATACAATTCAGGCTTAATTGTCTCAGTGCACGATAGAAGCAAGACAAAATTTAGCGGAACAACTTGTCTTTCGTCGGCAGTCTCATGATACATATCTAATAATGCATAGGGGATGCTATTAAGCTAAACTAAAATAATAGTTTACTGATTTTAAAGGAATTTCAGTTAGCGGATTGTGCTCTTCCTTAACTTTCTGATTTGATCCAGCTTATTATTTTTTGCAGGCTGTTATTAAAGCAATTTCATGAAAATTAAAGTTTGAAGTATTATTATGTCAAAAAGAGTTTCTTATGCTGGAGCTGCAACAGGCTCTACAAAGCAAAAGCATGTTTTGATGTCCATTAAGAAAAGTGGAATCGCTGCAAAAAAAGGATAAAGGTATATCCATCTCAAAATTATGTGAGGTGTATTGCATTGGAAAGTCAACTGTATATGACATAAGAAAACAGAAAATGGAACTTTTTGAATTTTTTATGGATTCCAACTTTCCATTTGCAATGAATAACAGAAAAATTATTCGTTATGCTTAAAATGATGCTTATGACAAAGTAATGATTAAAAGGGTCAGACAGTGTTGCAATGAAGGTGTGCAATTGATGGGTCCAATGTTAATGGCTCAAGCTAAAATATTTCATGAAGAAATGAACTTAAAAACTAAGTGCATATATTCAACAGGTTGGTTAACTAAATTAAAAAATCGCTGTGGTATAAAGCAATAAAAAATTTCAGTTGAAAGAGTTTCAGTTGATACTGAAGGTACTGAACTATCTGCAGATGAATTCATTGAACTCACTAATAATGAAAAGCTATCTCCAGAACAAATTTACAACACTGATGGTCTTTTCTGGCAATATGTACTGTGAAATAACTTGGCGACCTGTACAGAAAGGGCTGCAACTGTTGTAAAAGATTTCCAAGTCAGACTAATAAGTTTAGCATGCCAAATGTTGCAGGAATGCACAAGTGTAAACTTTTTGTAATCGAAAAAAATATAATAACCACAACCTTGAGCATTTAAATGAGTAAAAATTTTCCCCGTTATATCATGCAAATAAAAGAGCATGGATGACAGAAGCATTAATAAATGACTAGTGTGAAAATCGTTTCATATCCAAGGCTCGGCAACATTTGAATATGGTTGGTTTACCTAATGACGCAAAAATTTTTCTGATTATAGACAACAGCACAGACAACTTCACTTAAAGTTTTAGTGAAAGATAATTTATCTGTATTATTATTTCCTCCAAACTATAGTCTATCATTCAGCATATGGATATTGGAATAGCTGCGCTGAAATGCAAATGTAAATTAGCATTTTTAAAGGCCAGGTTAAATTTCCTGAATAATGGCAAGACTGTTCGAGAATTTTTTAAATATTCTACCATAAATGGGGAGCATGGCAAGATCGTGGGTGTGTTTCCAGGTACTTTAAAAAATACTTGGCATTATTTATGGTCAGTTACTATATTTCATGGTGAGGATGATGAAGATATTTGAAGGTTTTTGGATATCGCAAACCAAAGGGGAAATTTTCCAGTTAATGCATGTTATAAAGCGGTAATAAAAATGTAGAATAATGGAGAACTAGTAATAAATGAAGATGATATAACAGAAGTTTTTCATTCTGGTTTCAATACCCCAATCATCAATCAATTACTGGACGGCGAAATGTACAGTATGTTTCTAGATCCAGAAAATATCGCTACTGATAGCAAAGAAAGTGACAGAGGTTAGTGGAAACGAAAAAATTTCAATTGACAAGTTAGTCAGTATTCTTGACACAGCAATTACAGGACTTGGAACAGTGGAACTTTGTAACTGAGCAAGAAATTATATCTGTCTGTAGAATTAAAAAAGACAGTATTAGCACAAAAAAGAAGCAACTTAAACAACTTACATTGAAAGTAATGTTAATAAAGTAAACAAATAAATAAAGCTTTTCTTTTGTAAATTTTGATGCCAGTTAGATCATAAATGCTTCTTTGTTTCATAAATCACGATTTCATGTTTTTAATTTTATAATTTGAACATGCCATCTTACTAGATTTAAACTTATGATCTAATATTCAGAACAGTTCTAAATCCGGGATCTCCGAAGTCTCAACCAGTCTGGATCTCAGACTTTGTACTGTAGTAGGAAAAAAATAATAAAAAATCTAGTAAGTCAGTCAAGTAAGTCTATATAGTCGCTTCTCTTATGCTAGTATTTATTAAAATGGTTTTTAAGCAGTATTTTTAACAGATGTTTTGAGATTATATGAATTTCTGCATTTCCGTAATACATGTTTATCACTCTATTTTATTTGTTTCTATGCTAAACAATTTAACAGATGATTGAAAAGCAGCATCGAACAGCATTGGTTTTAGAAGATGATCTTCGATTTGAGCCATATTTCAACAAGAAAATTGAAATGCTTCTGAAAGAAGTGCAGAAGGTTGGATTATTATGGGATTTGATGTAAGACTTTTGACTTATTTTTCAGTTGCCCATGGAATCATGTAAACCTTAAATTTATGAAGTTGCTGTATAAATTATAGTTTTGTTTAAACAGTCCCAGTATCAGGAGCCCATGGGACTGTTGTCCAGTTTAGTTGTAATGATTCACCATCTCTATGTGTATATTTACATGTTGATATTTCAGCAGTTTAAATTGTATTATGTACTATAATTTTGGGTAGCTAAGCCACAGCTTATATGTGCATGTTGAAAATCTAGTTTTGCAGTCATCTGAAACAATTTTATGTTTACTCTCTCTTTAAAACTTCACTACTTCAGATCGCAAGTTATGCTTAATCGAAATCCTTAATGTAGAATTTGCTGTGACATTTTAGCCTGATACCTTTGCTCAAGTTGTACTAAGGCAGTGCAACAAGTCCGAACTCTCTTGAAATTTATTTAACTGCAATATTTCTCAGTGTAAAGACCCACAATGCATGTACTTTCTATTGAACTCTGTGGTTTTGTCTGCATTTTTGAATGACCATCTTCTATCTAACAGCCATTGGAAATTTATTTTATTTCTCAAAGTTCTACAGTCATTCTTAAACATCTCTCACTGCTGTGTCTATTGCTTATTTCTTTCAGTGCTGACTTTATTGTTTGCACTAATTGAATTTTTAATATTATTATTACTGTTATGATCCTACTCGAAGAAAATGTTATGCAGCTGCTTTTAAGCTTCACAGTAAAAAAATTGATAGAAATTAGAAAGTGGGCTGCAGCTAGAAAATTTCAAGTTTACGAGCGATGTATTCAGTTATGGAAGTGCAAACAAGAAGAATTGGAAAAAGATCTTGTCATACTGGTGTCATAGCTTGGCCTGTTTTTGGAAAACAATTTAGAGAAATGGGCAATAGAACAGAGAAAGGAAAGGTATTATCAGTGTTAACCCCTTCGTGCTGACTGTCACGTCTACATGCCAGCAACGAACACACTGACTTCCCGGCCAACATGCAGGCGTGCCAGAGCATTTTCCCGTTCAGCCCCAACTGTCACGTATTTGTACCAGTGTCCTGGAACGTTTTAAAAACTATAATTTCTGCCACAAGATGGCACTGTATGTCCATATGGTTTTAGATACATGTACATTAGACCTTCTACTCGAAATGAGAGAAGCATGACTCACATACACGTGTTTCTGATTATATAAACAAAAGGAGAAATAAATGTTTCCGAATGGCGTGATTTATGACGTCTCTTTAAATCGCACTTATTCGCACGTGGTAGTTGTTTATTTTAAGTAGAGAAGTTTTATTTTTGCTAAAGCATTGGGTATTTCGGTTTAAATTAGATCTTGATAGACGTGAATTCTTTCTGTTTTTAATAGAAACAGACCGAATAAATATTTTTTAATAGAAAATTTGTTAGACGTGAATTCTTTCTGTTTTTACCGTTGCAATCACACCAAGATCAGCAGAATCATTAAATCCGCTCAGATTAACTGAAAGACATTTTCCAAAACTTTGTTCAGAAGAGACTGATAAGAAAATGAGACGATGATGCTTCGTTTGTTCACATTTCCGGAAAAATCCTCCAAAACGGCAAATGAGTTATTACAAGTGCAAGGAATGTAATGTAGGACTGTGTGTAGCTCCCTGTTTTCAAATTTTTCATATGAAAAGAGAATTTTAAGTAATATATTTAGTTTTCAGATGTATAATGTTAAAAGTCATAAAATGGTGAGTAATGAAAATAAAATGTGTAAAATATGCATTTAAACAAGAAATAAGGTAATTAAAGTATATATAAAAATATCTATAAAGCATAAGCCGTTTAAATACTCTATAGAACATTATTAAACAATGCGTTGATACTTCGGAAATTTCATGGATTTAGGTTTAATAGCAAAAAAGCCCCCGGCCCTGGACAGACGCTCATGTAAGACACTGCCGGCCTCCGCGATAAGCGCGCGTTTGCGCTACCCGCCGCGAAGGGGTTAACAGTTAGAATTTACTGTCAGGCAAAAGTAATTGCTCATAAAAATGGATATTAAAAGTCTTTGTTGGAGGACCCAATTGGCATTTCAGGTTCATGAAACGAAAGAACTTATCCATCAGGATCAAAAGAATGATTGACCGAAGCTTCCCATGAACTGGATTAAGAAAAAGATAGTTTTTTTTTTTTTTTTTTAGTACACATTTAAGAAATTTATAAGAAAATTAAAGAACAAAATTTCAGTGGAGGGCAAATATATTAATATGGATTAAGTGCACATTACTTTTGATTGTCCTTCAAGGAGAACTGTTCATTCAACAGGTGAAAAACCTATTTCTTTCTTACAGAAAATAATAGAAAAACCACTTTTCTGTGTTATTAAATGAGGAATTAAGACTTCTTTTACATGCGTTTTTGGGTTATGCTGCTAGTGGAGAGACATTAACTTTTTTTATTATTTTCGAAAGAAAAGCAATTCTGAAGGTAACTTCCCTAAAGGTGTTATTATTTGTGACAACAAAATAAAGGATGGAGGTACAAAGAAGTTATTTTGTTTTGGTTGAGATAAGTTTATTGGAAAAAGAAATGTGCTTTTTTCCAGCCTCAGAGACTCATCGTTCTGGATGCATTGAGATCCTATTTAATGAATATGGTAAAATCCGAAACAGAAATTTAACATCAATATCTCAGTGATACCTTGGGTGCTTGCAAAACTTTTACAGCCTCTGAATTTCAACATCAGTAAAACTTTCAAACATCACATCGAAAGCAGTGGGATAAATGGATGTAAGGGAACTCCATACGGATTAGAAAAGCTACATATGATGAGGATACCTTGCGAGTCGATAAAATGTGGCGATCAGTCCGAGCTGACAGCACTATATGACATCACTCACTTTTGCATTGTTTCTATCATCAACTTTGATAATATCTGTGTTGACCAAATTTGTGCATTTCTGTAATTTTTACAAAACAAATTATTTAATTAAAGGAGATCACAAGAAAGTGAAACTGTGGAAAAAATTAATTAAATTGCACAGAATATTATAAACATGTTTTTTAAATATTATTTTTAATTTCAAATGAATGTTATATATAAAATATAGAAATAAGACTAAAATATTTGAAAATAATGTTATGGCTCTTCCTCTGAGTGCCAAAATAATAATAATAATTCTTTTGAGATTTATGGTGAGTAATTTTTTTTTAGCTATTTGGGACGAAAACGTTTATCTGATGACGGTGAGCCATATGTGCAAGGTACATCAAATTTAGTACACGTTAACTACTCGTACTGGACTTTAAGCTACTTAATTACTCTTGAAGGTGCGAAAAAACTTGTTGCAGCTAATCCTCTTTCGAAGCTAATTCCTGTGGACGAGTTTTTACCAATTATGTTTGATCGACATCCTGAGTAAGTTTGTCTTCAAGTTCATTCTATGTGTAAAACTTCATTTACCTTATTGGTAATTATAAGTACTGCTAATTTTATTTTGAACTTTACTTTGTGTAGTACATGTTTTCATTGGTGTATATTTTACAGTGTGCCATTCAGTGCAAATTCAAAAAAATATAAGTTTTAAAAATTTTTCCAAGCCTTTTCGATTTTTAGTGATTTTGGTGTGTGGAGAAAGTTTTGCATATATTTAAAGTTGTAAATATTTTCCATTCATTTTTTATTTTTTCCGTGTAGATTCTCATCTTTGTAATCCCTAGAAATAATGTCTAATCATGTCTGATAAGCCTAGTTTTTCTGTATACCTATTCTTCAATCCACTAAAATTAACTGTGGACCAATTTTGCATTTTATTACCTTTCACATTCAGTGTTGTACAGTCTTAACTGCATTTTTATCTTACATTTGACTACAGATTTTATATTCTTAAAAGTTTTTCCAAAGAGTACAAAATAGTGAATTATTAAGTGAACTATTGCTGGACAAAGAAAATTGAAAAATTGTTTTTAGTTTCATAGCTATATCTATTCCATTGCTTTTTTAATGCACACAAATAAGGGGGAAGAAAAAAAAAGGAAAATTATACTGTTGCCATCAGTTATGCAGCAGATTTACAAGTTTTAAGGATATACTGTTTATTACACGAGTGCTCCTTCCACCAGGGTGAAATGATAGATATTTTGTATGGAACTTGGGCATATATTTATCAGTATGCTCCACCATATTTGACTGAAGCAGTGTTAGTAATCGATAGCTTTATTGCCATTATTCACTCTCCGATACAATAAGAATGCAACATACTTTTTTTTTAATAAGAGTCGTGTAACAATATTAGAAAAGTATGCAGCAAGTAAATGTAAAGAACTGTTGGTTTTCTGTATTAGAGTTAGTGGCTTTGCTCTTTTCAATAACTGAGATTATGTAGCCATAGCAATGGGTTCCTGTGTAGTTTAAATTCATTTTCTAAGAATTCTATTTTGTATTTATTACTTTCTGACACTTTTTTTAAAAAAAATTTAATATAGAAGCATATTACTGAACACAGGTACTTGATAAAAACAAAATATCAAAACTTACTGTGAATATTAAGTTTCCTTTAATATTGTAGTTTTCAGAAATACTTACATTTAATTTTTTTTATATATATATACAGGGAGGTGTGGAAAGGCTATTTCCCAAAACGAAATCTGCGTGCTTATTCAGCTCATCCATTGTTGGTGTATCCAACTCATTACACAGGAGAAGAAAACTACATAAGTGATACAGAAGATTCAGATATTGCATTGTCAGTTATTAAAGATGAGCTTTAGGAACGAAGTTTAGTAAAACAAACTTTAATCTCTATTTATATTTTTGTATGGTGCTTTAAATTGCTGCAGCTTTAGAAAAAAAAATTGTGTTGTTTTCTAGTCAGAGATATATGCTGATAAAGATTTTGCTTTCGTTGCTTTACATGTTTGTTTAATATGTTGATGTTTTATATTTTATTGAATCTTTTTTATACAATGGATTCTATTTTTACCGTCAAAAGTGTAGAAATAATGTTTAAATAGATATTCTTTTTAGAAGAATTTTTTGCCTTTTTATTGAGGGCATTTAGTCAAAGGAATATTTACTTTTTACTAATAGAAACTTGGGGAAATATATGCTCAAAACTGACTTTTATTGTTTAAACTTTGTATATTTATTTGTGCCAAACATTATCTTGTCATAAATTTGTCTTTTAAGACTGGAGTGCCTTTAATAGTCATTTATTTGTTTTACTGTATGAATTATGTGCATTATATTTTAACCCCAAGTGGCATGACTGCCTGTATCCAGTCATGAGATTTTTTCTGTCTTGATATATATATTAGTTTATAATATAAAATATTTTCCCTTCTTACTTTCTTTAATGATGTAAATGTCTTTGATGAATGGAAGTTTTATGAAAACAGAGACTAAAATAAGTAATTTTACAAATTTAGCTATTAAATGTAGTTTCAGTATAGGTCTTCATGAGCAGATTCAAAAACTCATGCCACTTAGAGGGTTATACAAAGATATAAAAAACCTCGTATATTTATATGACTGACAAATGTGATGCAGAATATTCATGTCAGTCCAGAATTTTTCTGTTTAGGAACATTATTTCAAATTTAACTTTCCACCAATATAAAGTTTTAATGTGCCAGAAATTTTCTCTTGATATCTTTTTTTCCATTATTTAGTGTGACACCTTTTATTTCTATCATATACTTAGTCTTGTACCGGGCTTATGTAACAAATTGATAGCAGGAGCAGTTATGGTATATTTTGAGGCAACTGGATATTTGATTGTGTGGCTATTACAGATCCATATAGAAAATAGCAATGAAACTTCCCATGCTTATTTACCATCCTCTTCTTTACTAATACTTGCTGGTTTATCCTACATGCTATGAGTATCAGAAATCTTTCTGAAAATTATTGGTTCAGTAATGGCAGTTTAATGCTGTTATACATTGTAGAAAACGTTTCAAAGAATTACTCAGGATTTCATTAGGATGCTGTATTACATGCCTTATATTTCACAGTTAGCACTTTGAAAAAGAATAATAAATGCTAATTAAAAGCGTGCATTGTACACTATACAGAGTTTCCTTAAAAAAAAAAAAATACAAGACTTTCTATTTTATATTTTTTTAGATGAATTCTTCAAAGCTAACTGGAAGATTGTAATCCTGCAACATTTGCATAAATTTATGGAATGATATGGTAGAATACTTTATAACACAAGCTTAACTGTTTTCATGCCAAAAGGTTATCTTGGAAAATGTACTTTTTATTACAAATTTGTGTACAAGCATATTGCTGATCATTATTTAGCCAAGACACTGACTAACTCAGTTTGGTCTCGCATTCAGTGAAATATTGTTATTTTTTTTTAACCATGGAAACTAAGTAGAATTTAGTATTTAAAGATGAATTAAAAATAAGAAATTTGCTAATTACATCCAGAGAGATAGGATGCACATTGCCAAAAAAGGAATAGGCTCGTTCTATATTCATGTTCAATTACATTTACAGTGAGACAGAAGCACCTGTTTTCGAAGATTATTGCAGATTTATTGTAAGAAACATGCTATCATTCTTAATTAATATGTCTAAGAATGCAGTTTAAAAAAAAAAAAGTTAAGTTTGATAATACATTTGCTGCCAGAGAAAACAGGAAATATTTATTATCTCATTTTCTTTTCATAGTTGTAAATCAGTAGCTAAATCGATGCATTTTTATCATGATTTCTTTGATTTAATGATTAGATATTTTCAGTTAGTAAATCAAGGATTTATTGATGTATTCACATATGAAGATCAGCAAGTTCACTCTCACAGATTCGCAGTAATTATAAAACTCCACAGAAAGTGTTGTCATGCTGTGTGATTTGGAATTTTTTTCTGCAAAATAAACTGCTTTTGCTGTATGGAGTTTATTTTCAAAAAATACTGGGGGGATTAGTGGTAGTTTCAGTAACTTTATCTATTCATTTTGTAATTTTTTTCTAGACGTTTTTGATTTGAATCAGATTTTCAGTTTTTTTTTTTTTTTTTTTTTTTTGGCTAAATTATGTCATTGTACTTTCTGGCATATTAGATCTTCCAATGTCTTTTAATTTATAAATTGTTCATATGAGAAATTCAGGAATGCATATCATATTTTTTTAGTTGACTAGATATTTTCATTATTTTTAGTTGGAACAGTTTTTACATATTTAATAACTTTTACTGAGATTGAACAAATCAGTGACCTTACAATGTATTTCTATTGCAGTGAGTTATCTTAGACATTTTATTTGCCACTTTCAGGTAAAGTTCGTTTGTGATTTAATATGATATTGCATTTCTAGTATGACAGATTCAGTGTTGCTGAAGTGAAAATTCTTGTGTTTTAATTGCATTAAGTTCCATTCATATTTCTTGATTATAAATATTTTGATATAAAATGCTCATACATATGTACACTTCTTTTATAATTTAAAAGTATTACATATGCTCTTCGACTTTTAATAGAGTTACAGTTTAATAAACTAGCCCACTGCAAAAATTTGTAGCTTAGTCTAGTATATTGTATGTATGTTCAGAAGACCTACCACAGTTCATTGATTTTCATAGTGATAATACAAAAGTTATGTATGTTGAAAGAATTTATTTGCACATGTGATCCAAATGAAGTTAACCTTTAACTGCTGTGAGAATTTTTTCGGCATAATTACTGTGAGCGGTCTCACAGACCGCATTAAAATACGTACTTTTATGCCTTTTTAAAGAATGATATAGATACTTTATACATATTTATATAATTCTAATTCATTTAAATCAATATATTTTAAACATAAATCATTTGATTTTACGCAGTTAAATTCATATAAAAATAGGACTATTTCTTCATTTTAAGGAACAAAGTTTTTAAAGAACAAAGAGTTTATTAAACATACATGAAAATACAATGTCACTTTATTAAGTATTACTGTCAATTAAACCATAATTCTACAATAGTGAATTTAATTATTAATAAATAATAGATAAGTATATCTTTGTTTTCACTGATGAATTCTAAGATGATATACTGTCAAAATACATTATTTGAGAGCATGGAAGACACACTGGTTCCTTGCATTCCAAGCATTTATATGCTGTTTTTCTCTCCTTACAAGGTGGGCACAGAGTACATGTTTTTCTTTCTCCTAAGTTTTCTTCTTGATTTGATAAATCCATTCTCTTATTTTCCTTCTGTCCAAGGATTCTTGTAATTGTTATCTTCAGTTTCCTTGGCAAAAAAGCGGAAGTTATCCCAACTTTCAGATGCAGTTTAATAAATTGATTAGCTAATAAAAGGATACAAATTTTTCTTTTCAGTTCTGTAGCGTCAGGATATGACTGGAACAATATGTATGAACATAAATTCCAAGTATGTTTGGGCTCTGCTCTAGAGCCTATTTTTGCACGATGTTTCAGACCAGGGAGATGAACTATTTATTACATTATGATTTGGTGTTCATATCACCTGACTTGGTTATTTTTTGCTCCATTTGAAGTGCTTTTTTCCATAAAAATTATCATTTTGTTCACAGTCATTAGAAAAATTATGATATTCATCTATAGAAACTTTTGCTTTTGCTGTGAATAATACTACATGATTCTTCAGGATCAGAGTATTCTACATCAAAAATATTGATAAGATATTCAATTTCTTTTTGAGTGAGATATACGGGATGTTTTCTTGTAAAATTTGAAGCCATATTTGTCTTTTTTACAAAAAATATAACGTTTATCGTCACTAAAACTGGTATGCATCTGCTGTGAGCGGTCTCCCAGACACCTTAAAAAGTGATAACTGAAACCATAATAAAGCTAGAAGTGTGAAACTGGATATGTGACCTTATGAGACGGGTTTGGGAAGGTAGAAAAAAGGACAGGGACCATTTTCTGTTTTTAGGGGTGGAAACGATGGTTAGAATATCCTCAGCAGTTTTGCAGACTGCTCACAGCAGTTAAAGATTAAAAACAAGATAAAATATTTGACACCCATTCCAGCATGTCATTTAACATTAAGACAGCTAAAAATTAGATCTATTAATTTACAAAATAGAGTGAATATGTGTAAAACTTTGATATATTTTTATTTTTTTAAGTACCTTAGAAAAGTCAGCTAGGATATGGTCAGAGTATTGGACTAAAAGATGACTTGCAAAACTTTGCAAAAGCTGTGAAAATAACATCCTGTGTGTCCTCCTATTGCTTATGTGCAATATCCGAGTGTCTTTGCTGAGTGCCAGTAAGACTGCACTGTCAGAGTAATTACTTTTCAACGTTTGCTTATTGCCAAACCTAAAAAAGAGAATATATATTCAAAATAGAATTTTTAATGAATGTGTAGTGATTTATGTGCCATTCTGACTTGGGAAGTGTTATTGTAAAGAGGTTCCCATATTTATGTATTCCATTTATAAATGGGTTGCCATATTAACATTCATGGTATATCATTTTACAGAATATAAATACTCCATTAGTTAGGAGTTATTGATAGCAATCTGAGAAAAGTGCTTATTATGTTTTTATATTTAAAATATTTAGATAAAAAAATTTTAGTTGTAGAATTTGTTGCATTTCAAAAAGTCATGATATGAAGTTTATCCTTAAAAGTATTTTTTTTTTTTTTTAATGATACTGTTAACTATGTGTACACTGCTATTTAATGTATACTTATATTTTTGTTTTGTTGTTGTGCCTTTTTTTTATAAAGACTATATCATTTTTGTATTTTAAGTGTTTTATATTTGTATAAGGCAATAAAGAAAGCAAATCCTAAATATGTTTATTCAACATTCTTGTTTTTCATCATTTACTTCATTTTCATTCTTGAACGTACATACATTGAAACCACAAAAGTCCTTACCTGGCCTTTATTTTCACAACTGTTGGTCATGGACTTCACGTTACAAAAATGTTTTAAATGATGCAAGTACTTATGTAGGATTTTTAAAAACAAAATGTCAGTTTTTAAAAAAGTTACAAAATGTAATTTTTTTAATTTTCACAACTGTTGGTCATGAACTTCACGTTACAAAAATGTTTTAAATGATGCAAGTACTTATGTTGTAGGATTTTTAAAAATAAAAAGTCAGTTTTTAAAAAGTTACAAAATTTAATTTTTATACGTTCTCCCATCCCTATATTTATCTATTTAGGAAAATACTATACTCATTATAAGAAATAAAATAGAAAAAAATTTTTGCATTTTCACATAAAATAAAATATCAGTTTACTGAATGGTTTCTGATGTTATAGATTAAGCAAAGAGCATTTCTATGGAAGTTATGGTGAAAAGTTGTGATTAGTATAATGTTTTTAAAAAAAGGTCTGTAAAGAGCAGCAGAATCTATAATGGACAACAAATCTGTAAAAACAACAGAATCGTGTTAAATTTATGTTCTAGAAAATACAGGCAGGCTTCGGTATTAGCGCATAGACTACTCATAACATTAATTGTATATATTAAAAATATTTCTGTATGATTCTAAAGTAACAAAACTGCATAAGAACAGTAATGTGCTTTCAGTATTTAAAAACATATAAATTATGTTGGCGAAAATTCTTTCAGCATAACAGTTATATAAAATTATAAATTAAAGAATGTTAGTAAATCACAAAAGAGTAACACTGAATGGCACGTAAAGAAAAAAAAAAAAAAAAACCCTAAAATTCTAATTTTTTTTTAATTGACCCTTCAGCGTAGGTTGAAAATGATGTCACAAACTTCATCCAAAGATTTGGAAATTAAATATCTTAGTTTTTATCATATGTGAGGTTTTTTTTTTTTTTTTTGTTTTTTTGTTTTGTTTGTTTGTTTTCCTAAATATAAGTGTGGTGACTGGGAAAAAGGATTTTCTAATTCGTTCTAAATTGATATTTTTTTAAAAAATTGAAATTGCACCTTTGATCATTTAAAATACTTTTGCAGCTGGAACTATATATCTGCAAAAAGGACTGCAAAAATAAAGACCAGGTAATGAATTTTGCTGATGCAGTACATAGTATTTTAACATTTAGAAGAGAGTAACACATTTTGCAGTTTTAATTGATACCAATAATATATGTTCTGTAACGAGTATGACCTAAATAATTCGCTTTTTTACAGTTAAATATAAAAACAAGTACTAATACATCTGTACATGATTAATAGCTGAAAATATTTATGCAACTTCATGAATTTAAACACCTTTTTCTGTTTTAAGGATTAGAAATGACCGTAAAGTATACCAAATTGTGAAAGCATTTCACATCAAAAGCTACAATTATTATTAGCTGTATTTTTGTATATTTACTGTAGTTATGTTATTTTCCCCAAGTCCTGTGATTCGTAGATAAGGAAACAGATTTCTGGATTGTGGACTTGGAATCTTAATTTTTTTTAATATACATTTTATGTCATGGCAGGTTCATGTCTGAACTGACCCTGACAAGCTCAGACAAAAGCAGTCTTTTGAACAGTCCAAAGTAACTTGGATCTAGAATACCAAGGTCAGCAGTATCTGATTTTCTGAGTCTAGATCTTTGGATCATGTAGTCATACTAACTCTTTCACTAGACACTGACCTAGCATTTGAGCTCTTAACATCAGACCTAAATTTGACTCAACAAGGTCTCGACTTACGAAATAAGAAGTCGCTCACAGGACACAGTCCTGGACTTCTACGTGTTGTACCAGTCTATACCAGGCTTGGCAGAATTCCGCCCATAAAGTGATCAACTGACAGGGACAAAATACTTGCGATCTGACTACAGCTCATCCTCTGCCACTCAAGAGTCCAAGCCAAAAAGGCAGTTATAACAAGGATCACATAGGGAACTTCCAATAGTGCATGTCACCAGTAGTCAGACCTAGTGGAGTGATAAGGCCCACTAACACTGGCGTGTATGACATATGCCATGGCAGCCAAAAAAGGCAAAGACAAGGCTCAGTAAGAGCCTATAAAAAAGAACAAGCCAAGACCCAAAAAAGGTGAAGATCCTACCATTCAAAAATCCGAACCAGCACTGCTGTTATGTCTTGAGGAGTCCAAGCCTAAAATGGCAGAGGAACTGAAAGTGATCCTGAGGAAAACATCAAATCAGTGGAACTGAAAGTAAAAGTGACATAGACTGAATGGCACGTAAAGAATAAATGAAGATATGAGAATCCTCAAAAAGGCAATTGAGAAGTCTACAATTGAGCTCTACAAGGATCTGACAAAATAGGACCGACTCTCGATTGGCACTGGCACCAATTCAAGGAATACTTTGAGTCCTATCAGGTGCTGCATATGCTACTGATTTGAGCATACTCAGAACAGTTGTGTACAGTTGAAGCAACTATGATCAAACTGTCCACAGAAGTATTCTTGCAAAAAGGACAAACCTGTCTGCAGGAACGGTACATAAGGTGGATGCCAAGCACAGGTGAAAGCTGGACATTTCCTATTCTACAATGTACAGGAAATGCCTGTTCTAGAAGCATGAGCTGCAACTGCAGAAATACCACACAAACAATGATAGAGGTACCTTAGAAGAAGCAGATATGATGCAAAATGAAACAATACAGGCTACTGCTGGTGAACCTATGGAAAGTATAGTTTGGTGATTTTTGCATTTGGAGCAACTCATGAGAGAACCTGCAGTCTCGTTAGATGTTCATAACATCCAAGAGTCCTATAATGATTGATGGGGCAGTCACGAGTATTGTTTACGATGTAGCAGGATACACTACAAAAATGGGGCAGCAGCAGTTCTGGTCACCTAATAAAAATCCAGTTAGCTAGTCATTTAATTCATTATAATCAGACAAAAATTCAGCTTTTAACTGCGACACTAACAGTGAAATCAATTGATAACATACAAGTTCTTTGATGCCATTTAATACATCATTAAACCAGTCCTTATCATATTTTTCACCAATGGACTACATTTCAGGGTTTGTACGGCCCTTAGTTTCTTGGAAACAACTTTTGGTCCTTATAATTCCTCAATTTCGGCAACAATCAGAAAAAGGACATTAATTTTACTCATCTGACATTTCCAACTGCCATTTTGAGTGTGAATTAATATTTCAGAGTAATATTTTTGGGCAATGCATTGACAAATATGTATTTGATGGGTTAACGTTTGAATTCTTTACTACTAAATATAAACGGTGGATTCTTGAGATTTAGGTATGGAGTGCTGCCTCGATTAAAAAAAAAAAAAAAAAACAGTTTGAAATTGTTTCTTTTTAGCGAATGAAGATTTCATAACATATTACATGAAAAGAAACTGTTCCCGTTTTGAAATAAGAGTTCTTTTATCATATGGCGCTAAATTTGACGATTTCAAGATAAATTTCTATATAAAATTTTTTAACATTGCTAAATTTCATAAAAAAAAATGATAATACACTTACTTTAATTATATTCAAGACATAATGTTAAAATAAAACATTTTTAATTTCTTCTACCCTATTTTAAAGTGACATAACTTTCCATTTTTGTGACTTTTTTGACAAGGACGGATCAAGCAGTGAAGCTAGAAAAGGAAGCAAAGAAATTAAACCAAGAGTTTATTCAAATATTTATCTTGTATGTCTCAGTGCACCAGACATACCTCAGTACAAGTCCTAAATTCTAAAAATTTTTCATCCCTAGATTTTGTTGCTTGGTGTAACAATAAATTCTAAAATGTCTGTTACCCTGGTTCTGGCATTGGCCTTGACATTATATCATTTCATATTTATTCTCAATACTCATATTATTAAAGAAATAAAAGTTTTTCTAAACATTCTAAGTGCAAGCAGTTCATTGGAATAACATAAATCTTTAATTAAATATGAAAATTTTAAAAAGAGGAGGTAACTCCTTGAAGAAATTGATTTTATGAAAAGAGAAAATTATGCTTCAGAGGTACATAGTTGAAATATTAACAAAATTAAAGCAGAGACTAGTGGGAACATTTATTTATTTATTAAAATAAATAAACTTAAAAAAGATGCTAAAGAGAAAGAAACTGATGTACATTAGCTAAAATATCTGAAATTTTTTCAAATTAAAAAGATGCATAAATATTTTTGTTGTTGTTGCTACAAAATATAAATGTTTTGCAGGATTTAAAGTGTAATTTATACTCATGTCATTTTAGAATCAATATCATTAATTATAACTGCTGTAAAATGTGTGCTTTTTTAGTGAATATTTTTTATAATTTTTTTCAAAAGACTTGTCACAATATATAGCTATAGTACAGAGTCCGATAGTGCTTTTTTAGTGAATATTTTTTAGAATTTTTTTTAAAAGACTTGTCACAATATATAGCTATAGTACAGAGTCCGATAGTGCTTTTTTAGTGAATATTTTTTAGAAATTTTTTTAAAAGACTTGTAATAATATATAGCTACAGTACAGAGTCCGAAATCATCAATTTATTCTGGTAAGATGGCATGCAGAAATTATACAATTAAAAATATGAAATTGTAATTTATGAAATAAGGAATAATTATAATCTAAAGGGTATCAAAATTTACCAAAAAAAAAAAAAAAAAAGAAGCTTAATTTTTTTTGTTTACTTTATTAAACATTTCATTAAACATTTCTTTCAATGTAAGTTGTTTCCACAAAAAATTTAAACTTTCCTTTTTCTTATGTCATATACGGTTCACTTTACAATGCCATACTCCTCGCATAATTTTGAGACGGATATGCCTTTATCCATTTTTTGCAGCAATTCCACTTTTTGTTTAATGGACATCGAAACATGGTTTCGCTTTATAGATCCTTTGGCAGCTCCAGAATTGGAAACTCTTTTCGACATAATCAAAAGTTCAAGCTTAGTTTTTATAAAATTGCCGTAATAATAACAGTCTGCAAAAATAATAAGGTGGATCAAACTAGAAGATTAAAGAGCAGCACAGTCCGCTACATTAACTGAAATGCCCTAGAATCAGTAAAGATAATTTTAACCTATCTTAATAGCATCCATTATGCATAACTGGCTATGTATCACTAGGTTGACGACAAAAGCAAAGTTGTTTCGCTAAATTTTGTCGTGTTCCTATTGTGAACTGTATTAGTTTAGTTATTATTTACTATACCTTTATATACTGAATTGTATTAGTTTAGTTATTTACTATACTTTATTTCTTGCACATGCTTAAAACTAATCTGAGTTCTGAATAAATAAACTCCCACATACACTTAACGCTTTATCTAGGGCCGATGCTAAATACTGCCTGGTGCAGCCTCTAAGGTTCCTTAATTCTGCTACAAAGTGCCTTCCTAAGTTATAAATTTACACCGCACCTAAACTTTGCATCCCAGTGATTTCCCTAAATCATAAAAAACTTCTCATCCTTTAATTTGCTGCTCGGTGCTTCCCCAAATTCCAAAAATTTCGTCTTCCCTAAATTCTGCCATCTTGTGCCGACAAATTCTGCCACCGCTTCTGGGTTTATGGTGAATAACATATCAGTTATTCTTAATTAAAATAGCACTAAATGTAATCTTTTGGCCTATGAGTTTCATTAACAAAATTTATTTTTATCACATGAGAAGAAATTTTTGTTGTATTTTTCCTCATCAACATTTCTTAAAGCATTTAAAAATCTATAATGATCACCAAGCGTAATGTTAGCATAAAAGGTTGTCATAATCGTTATTCAATTACTAATATAAAAAAAAAAAAGTTTAGACATCACTGCATGAGTTATTATTGAAGCTGTCATGTATTGATAAACATGCGGTGATGAAAGCAAAATATAATAAATAATGACTCACCAGAGATGTAAAATAGGCGAATGCTTCGGTTTGAGATGTATGCTAAGCAGATACTGAGCTATGGAGCCAAATTATTAATCTCACAAATTTATGCTTACATGATTGTTTTTCCATAACGAGGTATTTTATTTAGTGCCTAAGTGAAATTAAGAATCAGAATTTTTAAGTGAAAATCTGCACTTGTTTTATTATGGAAGGAAACATCAAATGCGCATGCGTAAAGCACACTAAAAAAAAAAGTGGCTTTGAGGTCTAGATTTTAGATCATTCTGGATAATGGACATCCAGATTTTGGACTTTATGCTGTATTATGAATATCTAAATAAACAATTTAATTATTTGTAACTAATTGCATACCCTTAAAAGCTATCTCTATACATTATCGGCTTTAAATAATCCTTATTGTGGATGTAAGATACGTAGCGTATTCGGAAATTAAGTACCGTTTCATTCTAGCGAGTGCTGTGGTAGGCGTCCCGCACATGTGCACTAGTCTTTCTTGTTCATTGACTTTCAATTGTCGCCATTTTGGTTGCTCTATGTTGTGTTTTCAGTTTGCTGTGCACATTCAAAATGTTTAAGACAATTAGTTCTCCCGCTGACTGTGAGATTCGTGCCGTAATTAAATTTTTGAACATGAGGAATGTTAAACTGGCCGAAATTTATCGTCAAGTGACAGAAGATTACGGTGAATACGCGATAAACGATGGAAATGTGAGAAAGGGGTAAGAAGTTTTAATGCAGGTTGAACAAATATCCATGCCGAGGCTCGGAGAGGTCAGCCTTCTGTTGTCACCGATGATTTGGTAAGGAAAGTTGATGAAGTAATTCATGAGAACAGACACTTCACAATGACAACTCTTTCAGAGGCATTTCCACAAATTTCACGTACTGGTTTGTTCGAAATTGTGTCTAACCGCTTGAATTATCGCAAACTGTGTTCCCGATGGGTTCCAAAAATGCTCACTGATTTTCACAAAACGAAGCGACTTGGTAGTGCCCTGACATTTCTCACGCGGTACAGTGATGAGGGAGAAAACATTTTAAACCAAACTGTGACAGGTGATGAAACTTGGGTGTGTCATTTCACGCAAGAATCGAAACAACAATCGATGGAGTGGAGACACACTCATTCTCCGAAAAAATAAAAGTTCAAAGTGACAATGTCATCACAAAAAATCATGTGCACTCTCTTCTGGGATAGGAAAGGCATTTTGCTTACTGAATTTCTTCCCAGAGGTGAAACCATTAATGCGGCACGATATTGTGAGACTTTAACAAAACTAAGGCGTGCCATTCAAAACAAACGAAGAGGACCCGCCGTACAGCCTAACTTGACGCCGTCCGACTATCACTTGTTCCTGCACATGAAGCGCGAGCTTGGTGGCAAGCGCTTTGGATCTGATGATGACACGAAAAATGCTGTGGAGTTGTGGTTATCGAAACTGGCAGGAAGTTTCTTTGACGATGGTATACAAAAACTGGTCACCCGCTATGACAAGTGTTTGATCATTGGCAGAAACTATGTTTAAAAATGCTTTAAGACATGTATTTTCATGTAAAAATAAAATTGGATTCGAAAAAATTGTTTTACTATTTTTTTTTTTTTTTCCCAAAACGGTACTTAGTTTCCGAATACGCCTCGTAAAACACAATGTTAAATTAACATAAAACTTTAATCCTTAGAACTAATGAGACTTAAAATAACATAAAACAACTTATCAACCTCTGGTGCTTCAGCAGCTTATTGCAACTTTATATTAAATACTGTGTATTATCCGGGTTACAACTCCAGCAAATCTACACCAAGCTGTGACACTAACTGGGTCAGACAAAGTGCAGCTAATTTTCAATATGTACCAACATCAGCTATTCATGTCTGTTCTGATCAGTGGCTCTCTGTCTCTAAGGAAGCAGCTGAAGGTAACGGTCAAGCTTCTGTTATGAATCATGCTGATTATTATTTTACTTCTCAATTTAACTTACGCCAGACATAAAATCTGCATAAACCTTTGCACTGAGCGAGTATATGATAAAATGAGGCATAAAAGAAAGAATTAGTATAAAGCTAACCATTAGTAAAATTTAAAATTGTAATAAAATGTCCCTAATTTTCTTTAAAATAATATGTGGACCGTTATAAGGGTAAAATATAAGTGTTTCATGAAATTTTATAAATTAACTCCAATTACTTCAAAAAAAATTATGAAGTTGTTTTTATTCTTGAATTTGTTTTACAATTAAGTTAAATATTAGATTAGGTTTAAACCAAAAATCAAATTTTCAGATGCAGAAATGAGTGAACCCTGCACATTAACCCTTTCCGGCACAAAGTGTCCGGTTTGGACACACCTAAAAATTTCCTTCTGTATGCACAGAAAAATTGAATGAAAAAGGATTTATAGTTTACTCTGAATCTTCTTTATTTATATTAGATGGCAGCTCAACACAACCAGTCCATATATTTAGCAGCCATGTTTAGTTTTTTAAGACCCTCATTTTTCAAAGAAATCCTCCAGATTTTTTTAGGGTATAAAAGGAATTGTTTGAAAAGAAATTTCTGTTATTTTTTTTACTGTAAGCTAATCTCCTTATTCTATATTAGTTTTAAATTTTTACCTTAAAATCTTGCCTAAAATCAAATGGTGAACCCTAGGTATGCCCAGACCGGGCTCACCAATAACCTAGGACAACTGAGAGTCTGTATTCTTTGTTTCTCCGCATCTCATCGGTCAGTTCATTGACAACGATGCATGTTTCAGCACTCTTTTTGAAGGTCTATTCTATACAGAATTAAAAGATAAGTGCTATCTTCACAAAATTTTACTTCTGTACTCTAAGCCTAAAGACTGCCTACTTTTTTTTTTATTTTTTTTAAATCAAAACTCCAACTTTAAAAGGTAGTGTGCCGGAAAGGGTGAATAATTGCAAACATTCCTCCATTAATCCAGATCATAACTATATTAGAGAATATTTGCTGAAACTAAAAGGATATTATATAGACTTTTTCATAAAAATACCAATGACTGCAAAGTCTGCAATATTTACAAACAAAAACTGTCAGTTTTCAAAGTATTAGTAATAAATATAAATGATTTCTATCAATGGAATTTTCAAATTTGTTTTCCTATCAGTCAATCTGTTTAAGCTTAGGCAGCTAAAAGACTTTGCACAGTGACCAGTATTTGTTTCAGTTATCTATGTAACATTCTTTTAAGATGAAATTCAAGTATTTTAAACATATTTTAATCTTCAATTCCATACAATATAAACAATAAGTTTATCACAGGGCAAGGTGTTGTATTAGAGTGTACTGTATGCATTTAAAAATAAAAAGCAAGCATTGCTTTGGAAAAAATTTATTTTGCTTAATGCATATATATTTATTACCCATACCAAAATTAATTAAAGAAAATCTTCAGAAACCAATCAGTATACAGTGTATGAATAAATGAAGACTAGCTAAAATTATCACTGTATATTAAATAGCTAAGAATTAAATATATTTTTCTATTAAAATTCAAAATACAGAATACATACAAAAACATTAAAACATGCAAAATAACAAAAACTACAAAATAATTGGTATTCAAAACAATACATCCTTACAAAAATGTGCCTATACTATAGATTATTCATTTTCTTACAGTATTTCTCCAAATGGATTCTTAAGGCACAAATGTATGCAAAATGCTAAATTTATAATATCACAGAATTTTGATGAATGAGATAACAAGTTTGCAGACAATGTTCAAAAGGGCTGAAAGCCATGCCATCAAAAAATGGGAAATAGCTGCATTAGGTAACAGAAATAAATTAAACATTTGATTAAAAGGAACACAGAAGGACCACTGAAACTCACTAAACTTTAATTCAGGTTTACTAATCTCAGGGAGACTCCTGTATGGCAATATCATCTAGATGCAACATTTTCAAGACAACAAACATTATTAAAATTATAGTCCAGCTTTTATTCAGCAATTTTTTTCAATTAAAAAGGCTCATTTTATAACTTCTGATGAATGAGAACTGGTACCTGATGCCTTAAAATGCATTGAAATTCATTTTTTTTTTACTTTAATCTTTTATAAATCATTAATATTCAAATAAGTGTTATATCTAATAACAAAAATCAGATTTATAAATAAAATTAATGTTAAAAGGACAAAATTTTTATTTAAACTCCAGTTAAGTCTGTAATTGCAGTTGTTTTCACCACCTTCAGATCTGTTAAAACAAGCAAGCCTAGACCTTAATAAAAATTAAAAATTAATCTTTATAGATTGTAAATTAATTTATACTAGTATTCTGATGATTACCAATAAAGATAAAAAAACTTGTCAAACCAGCTTTCACATAAATGTACCTAATTTATTGAATAAGAAGTAAAAAACACCAAATTTTGAAATGCCTATTTTCAGCATTTTAAGAGTTTTAAAATTTTTATGCCATCTAAATCTATTACACTTTATTATTCTGTGCACACCATTTTCCTTTAAATGCTAATTATGCACAAAAGGAGTACCACCATGTTTCTGCCAAACTGTATTAAATTCTTCTTCAAGAATTTCAGCTCCTCTTTTCTGAGCAAGACCTGTTTCATCTAGACTTAACTCACACATCTGCATATCATCTTTACCTGAAATCATACAATGCAGTCAGAAAATGTACAAGCGAATCTTAATAAATATATAAAAATGCTAAGAAATATACCTGCAACAAGCTGAATAGGTGGTTTATCAGGATGAAGTTCCATTTGCCTAGCAATCCACTGACCTTTAAAATGTGCATACCACCAACCCTTTTGAGCAGAATTTGGCCTCACAAACGGAATACGAAAATACCTATCCACTGGATTACCACTAAGAGATGATTTGCGTTTAGGTGGCATAGGTGGCATATTTTTAGCTGGAAAAAGAACTCAAATTAAAAATAATAAAATAATACACTGAAATATAAATAAGTTGCTTAAAAAATTTTCAACGGCCATAATTAATCGCAAAGAGGTAACAATACTGCATTAAAAACAGTAAAATATATAAAAAGAGTTGCAAATTTACTAGGATATTTCAGTGTATATATGAACATATTAATAACATATTAATTATAACATATTAATTTTAATATATGAACTGAAATAAACAATGACGATAACCAAGAACATAATTATATTTTTGCTTGTCACTTGAGGGGAGGATCTTTATATTCACAAATAAATCATTGCAAAAATTAGGAAAATATTAGTTAAGATCTCTCCCATATAAGAACTCATGTAAGGGAGATCTTTTACCACCTGGCAAAGAAAACATATAACAGGCATGAAAGTGCAAGTTGGCAAAAAAAGCTAAACAACGCGCGGACACAAAATTACACAAAAACTAAATGTGCACGCGGGACCTCAAATAAATAAATAAATAAATAAAATACCAACCTTTTAATATAAAAAGTATTAAACATATAATTTAACTAAAATAATACTTGTACTTACTATTTTGCTATTAATTTTATCTTCCACTTGAAAAAAAAAAAAAAAGACAAAAATCCATAAATCACCAAGAGATTGTAATGAAGTAACCTTCTTTAAGATGCTCTTTATGTAACTTAATTTAACAGTTGATACATGAATACTATACACAACATTACAACACACTAATATACATATTTATGTTACATATTACTGCCCATTTTCAGACAATGACAAGTTTTAGAGATAATATATATATATATATAACTGTTACTATAGCTTTCAATTACCTTCACTTTTAGTTCAATAAACAGTACTTTATATAACACCAGAAAAAGTAGTCATGTGAGATAATATAGTTACAAAATAACATATAGTTAAAGGAGGAATATAAAAAATAACTATTTTGTCTGTCTCACTCGATCCTGATTAAAAATTTTTAGGGAAAAAGCTTTTTCGTTTTTGCTACATTTGCAGCCAACTTTTCTAATTTCTGTTTGCAAGCTAGTCTCAATTTCTTTTCAGCAGCTTTTATACAATCCATTGATACTTTTTTTTATTTTCTTCTTTATTTTCTGCAATGTTTAATTGCTTTTTTTTTTTTTTTAGATTCTCGCTCCTTCTTTTTTATCTCTAGCTCTTCTTTATACAGTTTATGAGCATTCCTTAAATTTTTACATAGAGTTTTGTGTACTGGAGAATGCAAGTGGTTATCCATATGTCCGACAGATGTTGCCAGCACCTATCGTTGAAACTATTGAAATCAGCTCTCGTTTGAGAGTTGCTTGCTCTTCTTTGATTCGATATTCATACGCATCTAGTTCCACCTTTCGACATAAGCCCCACCTACCTTGCCTTGATGTGAAACAACGTATTTCGCTATCTCTGGCATGATGTAAAGATTTTTTACAAAGATAAGAGGAAGAGAGAGAGCGTGTCCTCCATTTAGCCCCCCCCCCATTTGCCGGTAGCGATTTCTCAACAGTTCTGCATCAATCTCAGAAACAGCCCGGATGACGTTCAAAAAAAGCAGAATTCCGCGAAAAACGAAAAAAAACTTGCATGCCTTATATAAGGAAAAAATAAAATCTTACTTAATTTTAAAAATTAAAACATAGAAACTACACTATACAAAAATACTGCTAAGCAAAATCAGGCCTTATTACTTTGTGGCTAGTAAAGTAATTTTTATAACTGAATCATTCTGAAAACTGCATGCCAAATCAAATTTAATGCTGTTGTGTGCTTTTATATATATAAACAGGAAGATGACAATTTTCTTTTGAATAAATAAAATAGCTTTATTTCCCTTTACCAATACTTGAAATTATCATACTTTTACAAATAAAAGAACAATGTAGCTTTAAAAAAATAAAAATAAATTTACGGAAATTGAAAGACTACAAAGAAAACTAGTTCACTGATGTCAATGTAAGAGCCATGCTTGACATATGGAAGAGAAGTGGAGAATCTCTCCCTCCATATGCCACAATTAAGAGATGATAGCCTTATTTAAACATAGCCAGCCATCACAGGAAAAATATCCATGCGTACATCATTCGGTTAAACTCATGATTAATGAAAAGCAACATTAAGATCAGGGCTTAGTTACGAATAAACAAAGAGAGATATAAAGAGTGAAAATGATGGCCATTTTTTCAAGCACTCTTCATACACTATCAGGAAAAGTTTTCATGCATTCTAACTTTTTAAGCATAACTTATTGGATATTACAACCTTAAATAACTTTAGAATTTAAAAATTTTATAGCTGTTTGATTTCCTGGAGAATGTCTTAAGATTTATCAAGATTATTTTAATATGCACATAGCAGTTAAATCAAAACCTTTGACAGAAAACTACATATTTTTTCCTGTTTAAGTTCTCTTTAAAATTCCAACAAATTTGGTCTTTGTTTAATTTACTCAGTTTTTTTTTTCCATCCCTGTTTATCATATAGAGAAATATCGACTTTCATTAGCATCTATACTAAATATTTCTTCATAATGTGTGAGTGTTATTCAGAAATGATTAACTACTATACTATCATGATAAGATACGGAGATATACAGAGGCTATTCGCACATTTTTCAGACGATTTTGCTTCGCTGTAAAAAAAAAAATCTTCAGCTTGGAAATTTTTTTAAAATTACAACTATATTTTTGAAAATATAAATTATCATATGCAACTTCACAGTACTGCAAAATGTCACTTTTAAAGAAGCAATTAATGGAAGGCTGCTGTTTCCTGGAAAAAATGGAACAAGAAACGGGTATCAAGGCTTATACCCTTCACTCATATTCCTACTAAATCTCCTGATATATTACCAACATATTTTTGTGGTTTTGAATTTTCAAAAAGTGGATTGTCCAAACATTGATGTACAACATTCTTAGACTTTGGAAAGCTGAGAGCAATGGGATAAAATAACTCTTCCAATACTACGAAAGGCTTTTAAAACAACATTATAAAGATTAATTTTGAAAATAAAAACCATATACTCTCATAAAAAAAAATCCAAAACTGCACGTTCTACTAGCCTTTGAACTTTTGGAAACGAATTTAAATTAGCTGTTAGAAGGTGAAGCACTTGGTTGCAGCTAAAAGTAATAATTTTTTTTTATTTACTCTTCAAAAATTACTTTTATTATTTAATGTATATTTTTAACAAGATATGGCTTATGACATTACCCATAGAATACTTTAAAACTCTGATGGAGACAAACATTACGCAAATGTAACCCTCTCTCACATACGCATAATGCTCATAAACGTTTTTAAACTTTTAGTTACTTAAGTAGCTTAGTAAACTTAAAGTTTTTATTGTCTTTGAAATTACAGTGTAGAAAGATAGTGAAGAATAAGAACATTTAAAACATAAAAATCTTATGTAGAAATTTTTTGTAATTACAATGACACTCGTATAAAAAATGTGCGAGGAGCCTCTGTATGTCTTGATTTGTAAAATATTTGAAATATTTCAGGTTGATTGTGAAATTAGACATTTTGGTGGTTGCTTTAATAAATGTATTTGGTATACCACCAAAGTGGCCTTCATCTTAGAGTAAAATATTAAAATGATCATCAAATTCGATGCTTATTTGTCCTCAGAAATACCAGTCACTTTCAGAGCTGGTCACTATGAGAGAATTCATAGAATAAAAATTACTCATAGAAATGACTAGTAATTCCATTTTAAGGTGCTGAACAAGTTCAATATTTGAGTAAATGCTAAAAAAGGCAGAGATATATATTCTTCAGTTAAAAAAGCTATTAGGTAAAATATGATGCTTGGTTTGAGAGACCCATATCACACCAGCTGAAGTTCAATACATTCATATTCTTAAAAATGTTATTACCATAAAGATACATTCAACTAATAGTTTAATACAAGGGTTCTCAACCGGTGGTATGCAAAGAAGCATAGTATTTTTAACTATTAAATTCAAAAATTAAAACTCCAACATCCTGATTGAGTTTTTTCTGTAACACTCATAAATTTATGCGATCTGAGCTTTGTTCAAGAGTGGTAGGTGGTAGTAGTACTTTGTAATGGTTGAACAAAAGTTTTCATTTTTTGTTTAGATGGTATGCGTTAAGTCAAAAGGTTGAGAACCACTGGTTTAATTCCATTAATGCACCTATAACAATACAGAAAGTTGTCTTTTTCCCAATTTTTTTTTAATTCTTTATTTTAACTCAACCTCTTTATCTCAAAACTGTAGTGAATATACTTTGTTGTATTCATACCTGAAAAAAGTCTTGAAAATATTTATCTTCGGCAATGCAGAAATAATTTGGTTTGGTGCATTCAGATTAACATGGCTGAATGCATTAAAAGGTTAATGTAAATACATGGTTTCTCTTGCTGTACAACTATAGTATTCTTTCCTTGACGAAATAAGTTTTACATTTTCTTTTTTTTCTTTTTTTTCTTTTTTTTAATTTCAATTAAATGCTTAGATAATATTTATACTATCAAAATTTTAGAGTTCAGAAAACAATGAAAAACTAATGGCATTTGGTATTTCTAAATTGTATATGCCAAGCTTAATGAAATAATTGTACGAGTAACTAAAAATATGCTTCTGCACTCATTAATTTATATGCTCTTTAAATATGAGAAATTAAAAACTTCAAACATACATAAAATAAAAATTAGTGATAGATAAAACAGCTGACAGCCTGTTACTAAACAGAACATAAAATACAGAAAACCCTCATATATTTAGATTAAAATCACCTTTGATAGAGGGAATTAAAATCAATATTCTAAGAATCGAAATTAGATTATATATATTATAGTAATGTTAATATTAGATAATATGGCAAATCATATTTTTAAGTTTAAAATGACAACACAATGTCATAATTCTGTAAAAGTATAGAATAAATTTAAATACACTCACCTGCCTGCATAACAGAATCTGGAGCACGACTCTGACTGGCACCAGCTTTCTGCATATTTTTTACTTTCCATGAGTGATAAACTTTGAGTCGTCTATGAAACTCCTCTCTGCAAGCTTCCAGTAGTTCTAAGTCTGAAACAATATAAAAACATAGTTACATTAAGATATACACATAAAAAGTTACAATTTTGTTCAAGAACATTACCAAAAACAAGAGTAACAAATGTAATTCCTTAAAGGTTTTGAAATAAACGTATAGTATTTTCTCCAGTTTTAGCATTCTGTTTCTTTTGAAGATGCATATGATCAAAGATTCTGAAGCAACTATATAGCAATTTCTCGGGTTCAGCATTCTTTTTTTGGAAATTATACAAGTCTGATAAAAAATTATTTGAATTATTGTTTTCAATAAACTTATTTTACCATTACAGGACTAGTCTAGAAAGTACTAATGAAATCTACTGCTCAATTTTTTTCCCTTTTGGTAAAACCATCCCACGGCAAGTGTGATAGTTATCCACATAGTTTATGTTTCACTAAAATAATAAAATATGTTCAGAAAATAATATCTGCACTGCATTTTTCAAAATCTTGAAGATAAGTAACTTGGTCAACTGAGAAGATAAAAAAATTTCTGTTAATGCTTATCGTTACTGAAATATAGCAGAGCCTATGAAGGCTATCTGCCCAGGGTGGAAGGGATTCCAGAGGACTTTCTAAGGGAAACTGGCTTATATTCACAGGAAAAAAACTACAAATATCAATCATGCAGTCCGTATTTTCAGCTGGGTTTGAACTCAAGACAAACTACCAGCATTTAGTCATCTTAGCCATTCGACTAAGTTATTGAGTACTCTGGAATTAAAGAATGACAGCAAAATGTGAAGATCCACAAATAATAATTAAAAGAAAGACTTAAATAGGAAGTTCATTTGTTTCAATGTAATCAGTTTTGACCATTGATTTCTACAAGTTCCATGTGGCAGCAAAACTTAATCTCAAGATTTAAGCAAAATTTTACATATAAATCAGATCTATCTAACTGAATGGACGATGAAACTCAAATGAGTAAGATTTTTAAGATACAAAAGAAATAAAAAAGAAGGCAAAACATTTAATGAGGATCCCAAGATTTCTAAAAAAGCGCTTTTAGCCAACATTGATGAGAGGAGGCTGTTGACTCAAAATAGCAGCAATTCAAAAACAAGTGTTGAACTAAATACTTATCAATGTTTTCTTCTTTATCTAAGGTCAGACATTTTTTCAATGTTTTTGACCATAACACTGATGCATACCTGCTGATATATATCCATATATCACAAGATATTCAAAATGGAATTGATAGACAGAATAAGGAGTAACTCGGTTACCAATAGAAGCTTTAATCCTGAAACATTTTATGAAGCATTCATATTAATGATACTATTTATTATCAAAAAGGTAATACTATATTTTAAATTTTCAGAGAGTTATATGATACTGCATAACAAGTATGACCAAATGGAGCTTTGTGAAACACAGTTCTTTTAAAAAGGTTCTGGCAGTATTTAATAAAATTTGTAATTAACTGCAGATTTCTTAATGTGTGTATATTCTTACATTTATTTCTGATACACATGTTAGGGCAAAAGTTGTCTGTTCCTATGGTGAACGAGTCTGATTAAGGGTGAATGCTTCATATAAGCTAAAACAATGTTTTTAATTAGTATCATATTTTAAACTTTTGAAATTTTAGAACACAAAACAGTTGACTAAAAAGTATTTTCAAAAGGGATCTCTGAATTTCTAACGTAAATAATCTTTTATTTAATTTTGTCATAGTTCTATCTGCAAAACTGTTCACAAAGTCAATTTCAAATAAATGTAACTACTTCCTTTAAGTTACTTGCATTTATTACTCTGGGGGGAAGGTATTCATTAAAAAAAACTTGCAGCTAGAGGCATCAAACATAAACTGGCCTATTATACAATAAACAAACACCTTGTGTTTGAATGAATGTTTTTGGGTAGGAGTCCTTTCATCTTTAAATAATTCCGAAAACTTCTCTTTTATATTTATGTTCAGCTCACACTCTACTACTTATCTTTTATTCCTTTCTGTTACAAAATGACATAACAAAATGTCTGTGCAAACAGAAACTGTTTGAAATAGAACATTCAAAATTTAAACAAAATGGTTTCAATTACTCGTGGTTTTATGCAGGAGCAACAACACTTCACACAAATTTGTCAGGATTTTTTCAGATAATATATTGACCACATTTTGGTGGATTTTAGATTATATTTTTAAAGTACTTCTGCCCAGTTTCACAGTAAATGTGGCATAGGAAATTTATTTTAGTTTACCTGTTTACCTCAAGGAGAACACAAAACCTGAAAGTACAGATCATTACGATCAACTGCTAAATATGAAATTCTCTCTCGACATTGTGTCAAAATAGTTTTAAATCAAATAGGCTCTTATATGATTGCCACATGATTTCTAAGGCTATCTTATGGTATCTAAAGCCAAAATTTAGTAAACAATATTCATAAATTCTTTTAAATTATGTGTTTGAACCACCACAAGTCAGATTCTTAGTGACAAATATTCCATACAAATGTGTAGATGGATTAATATTTGGGAAATGTGTCAGTCACAGAAACACCTGGAACTTTCTCCGATTCTTGATCTTGTAATTTTGTTTTATTTCTTTCGCTAAGCAGTCTTTCTGGTCTTTAGGCTACGTGTCTTGTTACACACACTTGATTCATAAATATATGAAGACAAAAGTTATGATAAAGTGCTTTGGAAACTGCTTTGGAGTGAGTTTAACTATGACCTCAGTTAAACACGTTTTTTTTTTTTTTTTTTCTTAATAGCTGTCAGGTGTGACTGACTTGTCTAGGTTTTGTAGTTTCTACATGAGATTAATAATTATAAGAAAACTCTCTACTAGATATATTCATTACGCTTGAGTGTACAATAGTTAATGTGATACTTTAACAAACATACCTTTCAAAGTATTTTAAGTTAACTAGTTGATAATATATATGTATTCAGATTACGATTGTGCACTATGCTGTCTAAATGCAAGTTGAAAAATTTCATTTTATCTTAGAGTGTAAAACCCAAATAGATACTATAATAAACATACATTATTTGTTTTCGATTTACACATTGACTAATTTAAGTTATTTAAAGCAATAACTGCCATATGATTAAAAAATAAATAATGGAAATAGCAAGAAAAATCTCTGAGTTGAAACTACAAGGTGACCAAAAAAGTTCTGGCCGTTTCTGATATGAAATTGGAAGAGTGAACCCCAACATAAAAATACTCACCAAATCTGGTGATGAAGTGGTTAGGATGGGAGTCCGGGACATTGATCAAGAGTATAAAAGCACGTTGCATGTGTACTTCAAACTTGAATCACACAGCGACTGATTGAAATGGATGCATCAAAGGTGCTAGTTCGGAGTTGTTTGCTGTATGATTTTAAAGTGGGCCTGTCAGCAGCAGAATCAAGTTGGCGAATTTGCCAGGCCTTTGGGGATGATGCCGTTAAAGAGCAAACTGCTAGGCAATGGTTCCAGAAGTTCAGGTCAGGGGATATATCTCTTAGTGATGCACCATGCAGCGGTCGGCAACAAGCGCTGGACAATGAGACCCTGTGAGCAGCCATAGAGAGTGACAGTAGCCAAACATGTGATGAGCTTGCTGCATACTTCCAGGTACCTGATGAAACAGTCAGACTCCATTTGCACTGCATAGGAAAGGCATACAAGTTGAGCAAGCGAGTACCCCACTGTTAGGTGCAAACAAGCAATAGCGAGTCGCTGCCTGTTTGTCATTGCTTACTCGGCACCATAGTGCATCCATATTTGATTAAGTACTCACCAGCAATGAAAAGGTGGTCCAGTGTGACACACCCAGGCATTCCATTTCATTGGTTGTTACCATGGGATCCTGTGTCTCATACTGCGAGAACTCCTCTCCACCCATTCATGATAATGCTCTGTATTTGGGGGACTAGTTGCCAAGTGGTGCTCTATAAGCTCCTGCCAATGGGCCAAACCATCACATCAGGCCTGTACTCGCAGCAGTTGGAACATGTGCATCAGGTACTGATGCATTGGTCAATCATAAGGGGTACTCCTCCTCCAATGACAATGCAAGGCTGCATGTGGCTCGGGAGGCCAGGGACACCATCCAGCGACTGAGCTGGGAGACATTACCCCATCCACCATACTCCCCAGACCTTGTGCCAACAGACTACCACCTTTTCCATTTCCTGGACAACCATCTTCGTGGGAAATCATTCACAACCGTCCATACTTCGAAAAAGACCCTCACAGACTTCTTTGCATCCAAGACACCTGAGTTTTACCATAATGGCATTGCCCAGCTAGCCACTCATTGGCAAAAGGCACTGGAAGCTGAAGGTGATTGCTTTGAGGATTAACAGTGAATATTATTCGTTTTATGACTGTCCAAAACAGCAAGAACTTTTTTGGTTATTTTGTAATTCGCCATAATTATATAACACAATGAACCAAATAACCTTAGAAGCAACTAATTAACTATACATTTAATTGTGAATTTTGTTAAATTACCACAGGAAGTATTGATAGCATCACGAAGATCAGAGTATTTCCATTTTGATAGATCATATTTCTTAGAAGCAAGTTCTTCTTGTTGCTGCATCACATAAGCTGACCTATAAAAATTAAAGGTACTACATTTTACAGAAATTGTTTCAGAATTTTAAACGCAAAATGGACATCTTAATAATTATTTTAGGATATAGCATAAATAGAGCTGCTTGATAACATTTAACTAGAGAAACTATTTAATAAATAATATAATAAACAATTTTTATATAGAACTGGATAGAATTTTAAAATAGAATAGGCCAGTTGATACGCTTGCCATCAGTTTCTAGAAGAACAACTTCCCCAACTCTTAAAAGTTTCTTCCTGGCTCTTACCTTTATGAATCAACATTGCTAAATGCTCATTCTTAAATTCTGCCTTGATTTTTGTACAAAACACAATGTTATATTTAGGCTTTCACTATTGATTTCATCTAAATCAGTTCTTTCACTGCTAGGAATACTTTGTAAGAAACAAGCTAGAGTTAAATGGCTTCAGACCTTTCAAACTGTCTTCAATATATGTAAGTGGCCTAGAACTTTGCAATCACACAGAATAGTTTCCAACTCTTCATAGTCAAGACTTTTCTACTCAGAATGTTCCTTAGCATCTCTTTCAACATTCTAATCATGCACTCTCACTATCCTCCCCAACAGGTGGCTGCTGGAGGGTTAAAATTCCATTTGAGTTTCTTGATAGTGGAAAACGACATGATCTTCTCTCTAAAAATTTCTTAGAGCATTGTTTGAGCTAATGACGTCTGTAGCATTGTCAGTGTAGATTATATTTACTGTACCTCTTTGAGCAAAGAATCTTCTTAAAGCCATAATAAAAATTTCTGTAGACAGAGAATTGACTACAGGACAGCCCTATAAATGGCATAGATAAAAAGTATAACCCATGTCTTTTCATCAGAACGTAAATACAAAGGGCCTGCGAAATCAATTCCTGAAACTTCAAAAACTGTAGCAGCCTTTATTCTATTCTTAGGAGGAGATGTGAAAGGTGGTTCTATAGAGCTAACTTGTTTTGCTAATTTATTGATCGAAATAATTCAGTAATCTCTTATTTTGGCAATCAGAGTCTGAAGTCCTGCATGTTGTAGTTCACAATGCTTTTGCCTTACCAGTGGATAAATAATCTCATGGCTTCCGGGCAACAATATGGGGCACTTGAAATTTTCCACTTCATCTCCCAAGAGAAGCCTTGTTCTAAGTTGAACACTATTATTTTCATCTCTAAATATTTACACGTTTTTCAAGATTTTCATTTTTCTTCTGGTAAAACTTTCCTGCTGAATTAATTTTAGCAGACAGTTTTCAGCTGACTGAACTTATTTATACGTTAACACAGTTTTCGTAATTTTTTCTTTTCATTAGCAGTTTTAATGGAACAAAGCATCCAGATAAGTATTCTAAGTCTTCGCGTATTTCGAGAAATAAAGTAAATTGTCAGTGAAGTTAACTGATCATTCTCCACATTACTGACTATCGTTTTTCTCTATTCCGATCCAACCAGATTTTCATGACTTGTTTTTCACTTAATGGCCAGACTTCTTGTGACTTCCATAACCATTCTGGACCTCCACCCTTTGCTTCAATAATTCTTACATCACACCTCTTAAAAGGCTGCTGCATCTGTCCCTCAAAAATGCCGTCATTCAGTTTGTATCTTCTTATTTCTGTGACTCGTTTCCCCTCACAAACATATCCAACCCTGTTTTGATCCATGTTAAAGCAACAGTTGAATCAGTCCAAAAATACACTGCATTGTCTTTCAATTCAAGTCAGTCTATTACTTGACTACATAATCTTGATCAAAGCTCCCAAGAGCTCTAATCTAGGAATTGAAATCTCTTTGGTAGGGGCCACTCTTGACTTACTCATTACTAACTTGACTGAAATCTCATTAAATTCAGAAGGTAAGAAAATACAAGCAGTAGGAAACTTCACTGGCATCACAGAAACAATATAGACTTATTCAGCAGTCTTCAAATGGACATGAGATAAGTCTCTGTGGAATCTTACATTATTTCAACCAAGATAATTCCTTGACCCAGGCTAGAAACCTATTTGATATATCTATTGACAGTACATCATCAATTAATTTTTCCTTTTTCAAATGTTTTGAAGCAATACTTTAGGTATTATTGAAACACAATATGTTATCCCAATATGGTCAAATAATCTTTGGGCAGCCAATAACCCAACTCTTTTAGTAATTTTTTCTGGAATTTCAACCATACTGCCATGAAAAAGTTCATCAGTTTCAGTGTCCCAAGAGAGACCTAGAACTGAAATGAATCTGTCGTGTGTCTCTTCTACAATTTTTTCAGAAGTAACCCAGCCTCGTAGTTTGAGTTGTGCTGAAGACATCAGTTCCTTAGCTTCAGAATGAATTTTTCTGCCTCTTCTTTAGTTTTTAAATTCATAATACAGTTGTCCACATAAAAAGATTCTTTCAGTTGACAAGCTGTTTGCTTCCTTTCATCCGCAGCATTCTCATGGTAAGCTATAATCACTTCTAGTAAAAATGGACTAGGAGAAGCACTAAATACCACCCTACAATGTCGTACAGTGATTATTTCTTCTTGTCTTGATAACTCCTTTCACCACAGAAATTTAACATATTAGCTATCCTCTGGATTAAAACTGATTTGTAAAAAAAAAATTTTTTTTTTTTTAAATGTCTGTTATGCCAGTTGCAATTTTCCGAAACTGCATTATCAATTTGGTTATCAACTCTAATAAATTCGGCCCTTTTTTCTAAACAATCATTCAAGGAATTTCCTTTGGAATCTTTTGTCAATGCATCAAAAACTGGGCAAAGTTTTGTTGTTGTTACACCAGTTTTTATCACAAGATGATACAGTAAATAGTGTCCCTTTTCCTCATCTTTATCTATAATTTTAATAATTCCATCCTCAATCCACTCATTAAACACATCATCCTATTCTCTAAAATGTCTACATCTAATGAAATTTTCGGTAGGCGACATTAACCATTTAATGGCTAATTTTTTATTTGTTTTTAATTCTGGATGTCCATTTTCCATGGGAAACAAACTTCATATCTTTTGCCTTCATTTCCTTTAATAGTTTTATGAAAAAAATCTATTGTTTCTTTATCAGTTACCTGCCTTGACTTTACTTCTGCAGGATATCTTATGCCAGCGACATCTAGGCTTCATAATTCCGTCAAATCTAAATTAGTAGCATATACAATACTCACCAAAGATTTTGAGTAGTTTGTTTACCTTGAAACATCCATCCAAGTTTTGTTTTAATAGCTACCAAACTAATATCAATGGGCTCAACTCTCCCAGTCAATAATGTGCCAAGATAATCTGCTCCTATTAATAA